ATTAATTTTTAGTATGTGAAGTATTTAATTAATTATGTCGTGTATATAGAAAAATTTGGACATTTAAGAAGATTCGGGAATATGTCTAGGAGAGTAAGTATTTCTAAATCTCAACCGAGTTAAATTTTGAAAAGTACATATATTTTATAAAAATTATGAATTTAAAATTTGAAGGGACATTGACCTAATTTTGATGAAAAAATAGAACCTAAATTATGATCAGTAAACCTAAGCAATTGGAATCTTATGAGGAAATGAAACTAGAAAACAGTCCCAATGAACTGAGAGTTATTTGGACTGATAAAATATGAAATTGAAAAAGAAAATTTTCAATTAAGGAAAAATTGAAAAAGAAAAAGAAATAAAATAAAAATATGAAAATAGAAAGTAAAAGAAATAACTGAAGTTAAGAAATGATCATTTAAACAAATTGAGAATTTTGAAAAGAGAGGGTGGGAGTAATTAGGTAGGGACTGTGAATACTTTCTCGTTTAGTCTGAATCGAGGAGGGGAGTATATGTGTGTGGCTGAAAATCAGCGGGCATGGTAAACCTGCACATGGATAGAGTCTGAAATATAATCCAGACGTGGATAAACATTCGTGTGAGTGTGGGCCACCTAGCAAACGTACCTGCTGTGGCCATTGTGTGATTTGTGTGTGTGCTATCCATGTGATGGGGGGATCCATTTTTCCTTTCCTCGATGATGACATAAACGGCATCGCATGATGAAACCATAGAAATGACTGTTCGAGTGTATCTGTGATCTTTTGTATGTGTGTGATTATATTTCAAAATTATGAACGATATTCAAGTGTATCTATGATCTTTTGTGTGTGTGTGATTATGTTTCGAAATGATAATTGATATTCGAATGCATTTATAACTTTCGAGAGTATGAAAATATACATTTGAGGTTTGTATATGATATTTGAGAGAATTCATCAAATCGATCAGGAACATTTGAAATAGTGAAAATAAGAATATGAATTTGTACTAAAACATTTTTTTTACTTTTGTTTATTACCATGTGTTTTGCATAAGATTTTATCTGGATTGAAAGAACGAGAATACTTATTAAGTTGGTGAAGCTCATTAAATTTCACCCTGATATTTTTCAGAGGAGAATGAAGAGTCAGCACCGCTGCCAGACGAGTAAAACTTGTAAAAGGATTCTTATTTTTGTATATTTTGTACATATTCAAAAAGTTTTATTTTGTTTTGTTAGACTCTAAATTCTGACCTCATGTTTTGTGTATATAGTTACTATACATATCACATGGGATGCAAGGTTATATTATATTTTTTGATCTATGCATGTATATATTTTATGGCCCACTGCATGAAAATGACATGAGCAGGAATTGCGCCTCATATTAAGTATCAGGGTGTGACACCCTGTTCGGTATGAGGGTGAGCCATATTTCCCAAAATCCTTCCTGTATGGGACTTCTCAACTCCGTCCGACTAAGGTAATGTCCACGGTAGGGTTCCCTAAGTACTGGGTCCATTTACCATTTCTCAGGATGCCCAATAAGCATTTATTTATTTAGACTCTCATTATCTAAACAACCACTAAAGCATACAAACATCTCAATTCATATTCACAGATTAATTCAAATGGCACTTAAACAAGTGACATAGTTTAACATAACTAAATAACCAATAACCAGAATACCGAATAAACAATGCAGGAGGAACTAAATAACCAATAATCAAGAAGATCATAAAAACCATCAATTCAATTACACACAATATAATAACATGCAAATATAGGCAGTACAGAAAAATAAATAGAGAACAAGAACAAATGTGAACTGACTAGTTATGGCTCCACAAGTGACCTGTAATATTTTTAGTATTTTTCTAATTTTTTATCGATTATTAATACTCAATTTACTGTAACAGAGAATAAGATGAAGGATCCTTAACCAGATCAGTGTTTCGAAATGTCGTGCTATCTACTATGCCTCCTAACGGGTCTAAGGTTTTCTGAATTTTTTCTGCGGGAATCCAAAATACTCGTCACGTATATAAAAGTATCCTAAATATCCAAAATTGATGTTGAAAATCCTTTCCGACCCATTTTAGGATTTCGGCACAGCGCCGCCGCCGTGGTCTACCATTGGCTCCGCCGCTCACGGCGACAGTTCGCCTTGTCCTGGCTAGTTTTAGTTGGTTTTGATCAACTTTGGTCGCTAAGGGCCTCGGTTGGCCAAAAATCACAAGAAACTGAACCTACCAGTGGGGAGGGGGGTCTCTGGGTGTGGCGACTCTGCCGGTTTTCCTTCGCGGCTAGGATTTCTTCCTCGGCTAACCTCAACAGAAAAGGACGGTGAACACAATGACCGAAAAATTATGTGAAACGAAAAAACAGGAAGAGGCTCATCAGAGTTGTTTTAGGGTTTCAATTGCGGCGACTCCATCGGACTTTGCCCATGATTTTCGGCTCACCCGTCGTTTCTTTTGCTTCGATATGACCATAGAGAGACTCAGAATCAAATTCCGAGCGGGTATGAGAGAAGTTTACCTTTTTTAGCGGTCGACTATGGTTTCAGTGCAGCCGGGGGTCAATTTACTTCTCTAGTGGTTGGTCCTTCTTCTCCGGCGAGGGCAAGTGCAGCTAGGGTTTAGGTTCCCCTGTAACTCAATATTTATATACTTATCCTGCGTCGATCTGGACTGTTCATTGCAATTGATCTCTTCCATCCGATCGCATCTAAGGAGAGAATGCATATGAGCCGTTCATGCATGAGAGATTGAATTTAGACCGTCGGATCGCTGGGCACGCTGATTGCCTGTGT